TGTTCCTTTTTCCTTTGTTTTTTTTTTCGGTTTTTTTTTCCCTTTTGGGTTTTCTTTTCCTGATTGTTTTGGTTTCGAGGATTTGAATTGGAAATTATTTTTGATCCCAGTTTTCCAAGCTGTTCGTGGCAGGACAAGAAGTGAAAGCGAGGCTTCTGCTTAAAAAAAAACACCCTACTTCTCCCAGAAGTCCTGAGTTTTCTAAAAGTTTCCTCCCGTTTCTCATCTCTTTTCTGACCCAGAACATCAGGAATCACATCGCAGAATCCAGGCCCAGATGTATCCCATAATCCTTTTATTGAATTTTCGTACATATATACATATATAATTATAATATTGTATAATATCGCACGCACACACACACAATCATACACACACACACACAATTTCTACTAACATAACAAGAATTCTTTTGGGCGGATGGACACCTGGAGTTGCAGGCGTGCTGAAAGGGGAATTCTTAGGAACCCTAAATGTGAAGTTCTGATAAATTAATTATATTAACAACGCAGAGTAGCTAGACTAGGGTGCGAATGGGCATCCCGAGAATCAATAGCGTTGGTGAGTGTAGTAGTATAGATGTAGTAGTAAGTAGTAGTAGATGGAAAAGGGATCAGGAATAACCAATGTGCCCTGGTAGATCTGCTTTCCCATCCCACTGACCTGCACCTCGAGGGATCGATTCCGTGAACTTTCTCTCCCCTGGAAGGTCTTTTACCTGAGAAAGCAGGCCAGGTGACTAAAGATCTATTCCGTGAGGACATTCTAGGATGTCCCAGCCCAGTTTAAAAAACTCCTTGCCTCGGAGTAAATCCGGCTAAAAATCAAGCTCTATAAATGGCATTGGCCCATTGGGAAGATAGCTGTGTATTCATCCCCCACACTCCCTCTTCTCAAACAGTAAAGCAACATTATGCTTTAAGTCAAGTGCGTAGGTGTTGTGGGTCCTGAATTACTCGAAATCCAATCCTCCAGGGCCAGGAAAATCGATCTGTCTGTCTATCCATTTATCTTTGTCTGGAGGCCACTGCCTTCTACTGTTCTCACCACATACGTCCTTCCCATGAGCTTCTCTGATGGGCATTCCAGTTCGATGTGCATAACAGGCCAAGTTGGTTTATTGCTTGCTTATAGAGCCAGGTCCACGGGTGATAAAAGCAAGGCAGCCTTAGCTTCTGTGTGTGTCCCTCTGTGTGTGTGTGTGTGTGTGTGTGTCCGTCCGTCCCCGTAGTGGTTCTGCTTTTGTCTCTGGAGGCACAAGCCTTCTAACCTAACAACCCCACCAGCTGAGGGGAAGGCCATCTATTCCAGCTAAGGAAAGCGGGAAGGAATAAACTCTAGGTTAGAAAGACGGCTCCCTTTCAAAATCCTCTTCCAGATCAGGGAGGGCCAGATTTCAAAAGCTGAGATATCTGTTTGGTGGTTGTCCCAGAACCTCAAGGTCCCACCTCAGGGAATGCAGAGCAGAAGATCTACTCCAGACTTGAAAAGAAAATTTAAAAAGAAGCCCAGAAAATAAGTTTGGACCATAAACATGGAAAAGAGTCGGTACTATTTACCCCATCCTACATTAAGCCCGAGTTGTTTCATTCGGAGGCGGGGGCTAAGCGTAGGACCTTCCCAGGGGAATCTCAAGAGATAGAACCTGAGTCCTGATCTGTTCCAGAATTCAGCCCTGTACCAACAATTCCTACTTCAATTTGTCCTGGGCATCAGACTTGGTGGAGGCAGGGTGCTCCCCCCTCAAACCCCCAAACCACAACCTGACCTTTGATAGATGTAGCGTTTATTTAAGGTGATTCATTGGCACCTGTGAATAATCTCCTTCTCTTTGCAAGTAAAAAAGTCCCTCAAATGCCAGCGGTGCCCAAATCAAAGAGGTTAAGTTATTGATCTTTTAGCTTCCTCCCTTCCCTGTACTTTCTCTCTGTCCTCCTGCCCCCTCCCTCCAAAAGGCTCAATTTGGTTAGAAAGATGGCATTGGGGTGGTGGGGAATGGCCACAAGCAACCTATATATTTTCTAGAAATCAATTTGTTTTTTTCTATCTCCCCAGCTCTTTTCCCCTTGATTTGGTCTCTCCCCCCCCTTCTCTTTTACTGAAACCAGAAAAACGCAAATCTGATTTCTCTCTCTCCCCCACCCCACTTTAATCCAAACCAGTCTCTCTGATTCCAACCCTCCCCTCTCCCCTTTTCTTGGCTACCCCTTGGCCTACATCCCCTTGAAGTGCCTGTATTGAAGGGGGGGGGGGTGTTTCCCAAGGTCTTTGGAGGTCTTCGCGAGCGACAGTACTTAGAATAGCTGGTAGATGGCAGAATTTTCTAACCTTTGGAAAGAAGCGAACAAGCTGGGAGCCAGAAGTCCATTTAAAAAGCCCTTTATTTCAAGGAACAAAGATCAGTGACAACCACAGAACAGAAGACAACTCAATGAAATTTCTCTAGGAGAAGGGCGGGGGGCATTGCAAAAGACAGCCACCGTGAATCCAAGGTCTTACTTTTATAATTAAAAGGAGGAAGAGAGACCAGTGTAAGATAGGTTCAGAGCTATCTTTTTCCTTCCTTCCTTCCTTCTCTTCTTCCTTCCTTCCTTCCTCCCTTCTATTTCCTTCCGTTTCCTTCCTTCCTTCCTTCCTTCCTCCCTTCCCTTCCTCTTTCCTCTTTCCTCTTTTCTCTTTTCTCTTTTCTTTCTGCTTTGCACTCAGTGTTGACTCCTGAGGACTGCTTGAACAAAACCTTCCAGTTTTGTTGATAATATTTCCCCAAAGTGGTTTCCATTGCCTTCTTCCTGAGGGGGGGGGGGGGAGAAGGGCTGGCTCAAACTGAAGGCTTCAACCACTATACCAACTGGCTTTCTAATATCTACCATTTTTAAAAAAGGGGGGGGGCATACATCATTTCAGAAGTTGCAGAGTACAGAAACGATGCAAGGCAAAGTATATTTCGCTTAATACCTCATGATAAAATACTATTTTTTTTAAAAAAAAGTTGGGTTCAGAAAATCTCGGAATACACAGACTGGTCGATCAGTAGGGAACTTAAAAGAGTGGTGATAGATCCCCAGTTTAAGAGTAGAGACGGCCGATAATCTATTTCCGGAGAAAAATAACCATTCATATATAGATATATAAGAGAGAGAGTTAGGCACATAGACACAGAGGCACATTCAGCAACCGACACTACTATCCATGGTTTACACAGGAAGGATCCAAGCTGCGATCTTATGGCGAGGGAATCCAGTGGGCTCCAACTTGAGGTCCAGGATCCTTGCTTGTAGCTGTGGGGCCCAGAGGACCCGATCCTCCTCCCGCGGACTCAGAAAGCGAATCCCGGGCGCCTTCCAAGGAGACCCTCTCCCAAGGCAAAGAGCCACTCCGTCCCACTCCGGCAAACGGATTTCCCCTCCCGACGGAGGGATCTTAGCTCTACCACTGCCTCAGGTGGTCTCTTGCTTCCCAACTACAAGCCTGCAGGACTCGTCCGCCTCCCTTTTACGGATAGCTCTCTCGGCTCCTCTGTTGCTTCTCAAGGGTGGCAGAAGTCGGGCGCTGAAGAACTTCAAAGTGGGATCAGGCCAATCTCCAACCTGGATTCCCCAAAGGGATTCAATTGAGGATTTGGGGAAGGGCAAAGGGTTTCTTTTAGACACGGCAGGGAAAAGTAACATTGCAGGCTCGGGAAACCTGAAGGAGGAGGGGATCAGTTACTGAACCCGCAACCTGGAGAATGAAGGAAAAGCATCACAAGGATCCGGATGGGGTTGGGTGAAGAGGTAGGGAATATACATACATGCATGCATGCATGCATACATACAGACACTGACAGACAGACAGAGAGACAAAATCCCAAGCGCGATCAAATCTTAATTCGGCGTTAGAAATAGCAGCTCCAGAACGAAAAGCTTGACGTTCAAACCTTTATTCCCGCTTGTGTTGTGTACTGAAGAAAGAAAGAAAGAAAGAAAGAAAGAAAGAAAGAAAGAAAGAAAGAAAGAAAGAAAGAAAGAAAGAAAGAAAAGGAAGGAGAGGGCCCCCTGATTTGATTTCACATTAAACCCCCTAACAGTCTCCATCTAATTATTATTATTATTAGTTTAGAGTTTGGTTAGAGGGTAGAAATCAAGACAAAGCGTTTGATGGCTGGTAGACCAAGTACTTTCCCGATCGGTCTTTCCCCGCGTTTGGAAAGCAAGCAACTCGCCGGTTGCGTGGCTCCATTGAGTCGCGTTTAAGAAACCGGAGGGAGTAAATATTCACCGTCCTTTGAAGCGGTTTTTAATGGACATTTATTAAAGCGGTGGGGGGGAGGGGCGGGAAGGAGAGCGAGACGGGGTTACAGTTCAATTAGTGGGCAGAAAAAGCGAAGGAGACGAGAAAGCGAAGCAGGGACCCTTCTTCTAGCTGGGGGTCTTCCTCCCCCTCAAGAGGCAGAACCCGCAACCGACGTCGTCAGACCTGGTTGGAGCAAGTTAAGCCAACCCTTCGCTGCGGGGAGACCAGGATGGAGAGCCAACATTAGGAAAGAACAGCCACGACCCCTGCCTAAGTCCGACGGCAGCCTTGGCTTCCCCCTTTGGAGCGGCGAGCGCGTCCTTCGCGGAGAAGTGCCATTTATCATTATTATTTCTCTGATGAGGCTCCCGCTTCGATCCGCCTCATCGGAGCTCCCTTCCTTCCTTCTCTTTCCCCGCGAGCTTTTAAACTCCGATTCTAGCCTCCTCCGAGTAAAACAAAAAAAAAAGGGGGGGGGGAAACCCCTAAGGGTCAACAGCGAAGTTGGGGAAAACGGGTAAATTGTGGGGAGGTTTGGAAGGAGGGGCGCAGGGACTTCGGCCTCTGCGGTCTCTTTCCAGCGACCCTCAGCCTCACCTGAATTTAAAGAAAGAGTTCAATAGAAAAGCAGCAAAGTCCAGAAACCTGTAATCATTTTCTTTCTTTCTTTCTTTCTTTCTTTCTTTCTTTCTTTCTTTCTTTCTTTCTTTCTTTNAAGGAAGGAAGGAAGGAAGGAAGGAAGGAAGGAAGGAAGGAAGATTTTTTTCAAGAGAGACAGAGAGAGAAAGAGAAAGAGAGAAATAGTAACTTGTGAAAGACAAGGGAATTTTAATGCATTGTGTAAAAAGTCCATTGAACAAGTCTCTCTTTTAAAAAAAAATCCATAGTCCATTCAAATTATGCTCCTCTCTTCTTTTAGCCAGGATGTGACATCCTTGCTTAACCGAAGGACATTTACACAAACCGCCAGACCCAACGTCACTCGCGATTCCTCTCTTCCAAATTTTCCATGTTATTTTTTTTTGTGTGTTTTGCTTTGTCCAAATTCTCTGATTTGTGGAATTATTATTTTTTTTAAATTTTCCTCTCTCCAACGTATTTTTTTTTTATTCCCCTTTTGCTTCTTACTGGATGGCCATATACGGCCAGTTAAAACTGCTTCCGGATAGTAGCATATCTCTGATAAGGGTTTCGATGGGGGTTTTACCTACCAAACGGACGAAAAACAATTGCTCTATGACCGAGGAAGAGACGGTGCGAAGAGAGGGGAGGCGTAACAACAGTTTCCCAAAACGGGTGGGCTGGTTTGGATACTGACTCCTGACGTACTCTTCCAGAGCGCACTGGGACTTCTCCTGTAAACTTTCAACGTGCGCAATGTCGGATAGACCACACGCATCTAGAAGAAATTAAAAGAAAAGAAGGATTGGGGAGAGAGAATCATCAACAGTGTTAAAGAAGACGCGGTTTTCTTTTACAAATGGACACACAGACCCATCTTGGTCCGTGCAAGCCTGCTGAATTTACTGCAGTGCAGCGTTGCTATCCTACAAGGGGCGCCCCCTGTTTAAAAATTGGTCATCTTACGCCCCAATTAAAAGAGGTTTAGGCTAAAAAAAGGCCTGGAGACTTTCTATGCACGGGTTCCAGCTCAACTCAGTTCCCGGGTCCTCCACACGCCTCCCTTCCACACACACAATCCATCTAGCCTTTTTCTGCAGCGCTTCCCTTCTTGCACCTGGATGGAAGCTGCTCTTAGGGCGAGGAGGAATCCTGTTTTTTTATAGCAAGTCAAAGCCTTTCTTTGGGGTTTAAGGTCTCGTCCTTCTGTCTGTCTGTGTGTGCTTGGTTGAGAAAGACAGCACGCGGGGCACGTGCTGAAGGCCTCCCCCCCCCGCAGGGTGCCGATATTTTCTAAGTCTTAATTGCCCCCTCCATTCTGAAAATCTGGGGGGGGGGCTCCATACACTCACGGGTTTTTTAAAAAAAAATTTGCATGGTGTTGGGAAAAGAGAAGATAATGGGTGCACTCCCTCCTCTCCCCAAAAACACCAATATTGGGAAAAATAAATGATGCAGAACCTGACCAAGAGAATATGAGAGAGTTTTAAAGAAGGTAGGTTCAGAAATGAGTTCTGCTTCGCTCCAGAGAATTGAGGGGAAAGAAGAAAAAAGAAGGGAAGAAAGAAAGAAAGAAAGNCTGTGGGTGTGTGGGGGGGGGGGGGGGGGGGGGAGGAGAGTGCTTTGGCAAAATGGTTTGCCGCCTTTCCCTGACCCTTTTGCTTTAGCGAGAGGGGTTACTGAGCTGTCTCTGACTCCCCTCTCCCCTTCTTTGTGCCGAGAACTATTGGATGGGGCCAAAGGCAAAGGGGATACGAATGTTGGGGCGGGGGGGGGCATGAGGAGGAATAACAAGTGCGAAATGAGGGTTTCTTTTTATTGATCTTTGCTATCCAGAAAGAAGAGCAGGAAGAGGAGGAGGAGCAGGAAGGAGGAAGGAAAAGGAAGAGGAAGGAGGAAGAAGAGAGAGGAGGAGGAAGAGGAAGGAGGAGTAGCAGGAAGATAGAAGTGCTTTAAAGCCCCCTGTCTAAATCTACTTCTATCCTTTGCTTCTTTCTTCCTCCTTCTCAAAGTGGAGAATCCTTGCCTTCAATTTTCTCTTTCATGTAAAGTATAAGCTCAGAGGATTTGGGGGGAGGGGAAGTGTTGTCCCTATTTGCCAGCCTTTTTTTTTTTTAAAAAAAAAGAAATACCCTCAATTTCAACCCCTACCCCAACCCTTTAAGGCATCTCTACCCAACTCTCCATCCTTCAAGTCAATTCTTGGGATTGGTCACTTGGGAGGCTCTGGTTTTTTGCCCCAAATCCCAGCAAGTGAAGGAAAACTTTCCTTAAACTGCTCTCAACTGCCCTTTCTCCAGCCTTGGGTCAAAACCCAAGGTGGATCCACCTTGGAGGCTTCTGATTGGCAGGGGACAAGTGGCAGAAGAGATGCCCTAATTGGAGAAACCATTGAGGCCCTGCCAAGGCCCTTCTCCCATGCCTCTTTCAGCCCAATAGCTGGCTTTAAAACTGAGCATGGAGAAGGTTGACAACCTCCTTTGCATGGGGTTGCCTTGAGTCCCTTGGGGGACCTTTCTCCCTTCTTAAATTAGAGGAAGGCCAGGAAGAAAACTCTGTCTGATGGGGGGGGGGGAAACAAAACAAAACCGAGGCATCAGATCACCAAGGAATGCAACAAAGCCCAGCTTCTGAAAACGATGCTAAACACCAGCTCCTTTGCTAAATACTCCTCAAAGCAGCCCCAATCTTTCTCCCCGACGTTTTGGAATTGGGGAGGGGGATGTGAATCTTAGAAAAGAGAGTCACCAGCTGCCCCCTTCAGAATCAGGCACAAAGAAATGCCATCCACCACAACAATATGAAAAAAAGAAAAAGAAAAATAGAGAGAGCCGCTCTTAAAGGACATCGGATCAGAAGGGAAGGAAGGGATCGGGGTGGGTGGGGGTGGGTGGCGATATTAGAACCAGAGGCCTAACCAAGCAGAAAATTTGCCCAGGCTGGTTCAAAAGGCCACAGGGCTATATAGGGAAAAACCTTCTCTTTTTGAAGCACATCCCATTAAGTTCAATGCTCACACTGGAGGTTAAGAGGTGTCCTTAAGTACCCTGTTTCTGCAGATCCTTCTAGAAGGTTTTTTTTAAAACACTGTATACTTTTCTCTCTTCCTTACCAAAAAAGGGGAGGGGGAGAAAGAAGTTGAACCTATACAAATATTCTCTTATCCCTTGGTAGAACAATTTCACACCTTTAAAATGACCACAAACAATGCAAGACAATGCAGCACCACCACCCCCCAATCACTTCAACCGGCGATCCGATTAGTTTTACAATTCACATCCATCCTAATATTGTGATCTTTCGCAATTAAATAATAAAACATAATCTAGAGTGACGTTTCCTACTTTTTACACTTCAGGGGGAGAAGTAACTTCCCCCCTCTTCTTCTTCTCCCTAATCATTCTGTGAAATTAAATTATTTGTGATTACAGAAGCGGGGAGGGGAGGAGGCTAAACATACTCCAGGCAACATTTTGGAAATTTAATTTTTTTTTGTTTTGCTGTGTTTTGAAAAAAAAAAAATTCTGACTGGCAGAGCTGAATCTCACTGCCTTCCCTGTCATCACCAATGTTTCCTTTCATTCTGCATATTCAAATAGAACTGCAATCCAACCTTCCTTTGGACAATGATTTTTGACCAGATCTAAGTAATTCAAAGTATATAAAGAGAAGAAAAAACAGTGGCACACATAAATCACCCATTCCCCACCAAGAGAGTTAGGAGAGTCATACAAATGGTCAGATATCAAATAATATTTTAATTTCTGAATACTTTCAATTTTTTTCCTTGGAATATAACACACAAAGACTGGACCAAACAGTTTTCAGTTATTATAACTTTTACAGTATACAGAAATGTTGCACTTAAAAAAAACCTTCAGTTTTTTTTCTTTAAAACACAAAAAACTGTAAACTCTAAGGTACTGAATCAACCACATTATCTATAAGTGCCAACAGTAGTGTTATTTTTTTTTTGTCATGCTGAATTCAATGGGTTTTTTTCTTTTTCTTTAAAAAAGGGAAAATATCAACAAGTATTATAATACAAAGAGCTTGCAAATATACAAACAGATAGAGGAACTCGGACAACTAGGCTTAACCCAATTTCATTCAAATTACAAAAAAGTTAACTTTGCAATGAGGCTCTCTGTGATTTTCTGTGTACATATATGTATGCATGTTTTTTTTATTTACCAAAACCATCTTGTGTCTTGGACACAATCTCCTTCCAAAAAATAGCCAATTCCCTTCCAAAATCCATATTTTGCCATATATGCATTTATGTGTTTTTGTGTATATATGTGTGCATTGTATATACATAACACACACACATACATATACACATACATCTCCAAGCGAACAGGCTATGGGCAGGTTGATCGTGGTTCAATTTTTTTTTAAAAAAATGCTATCTTTATAGTTGTTGTAGCTTGAAGCTAAATTTTGGGCTGACCGGATTTAAGTGCGCTTCCATCTTTCTAGAATTATTTTGGGGGGTGGGGGGTGTCTTTATTCCCAATTTTATGTTCTTCTCAGAAACCTTTCCAAGACAGTTTTAATTCTTTCAGAACATATACTTTTTAAAGGATACACAGTTCTTTAAAAAAAGAAAGAAAAGAAAAATGAAACCAAGATTATATCAAAATTATTATAGAACCACAGAATAAACTGGTTTGGAACCAGGATTTCTTTTTTTTTTTAAGAAAAACCAAAACAAAATCCTATAGGTACACAGACAATGTTGGACAAATCAATAATTTGGAGAGAGAGAGAGAGGGGAGGGAGGGAGAGAGAGAGGGTGTGTGTGAGAGAGATAGAGACACAGAGAGAAACAGAGGAAGAAAGAATTTTTCCCATTATGTTAATTTTCTACAGGTTTTGCTTTTTAAAAAATGCACTTTTTTAGCGAGAGGTTGCGTTTCGAAGTTTTAACACCCCGCGAAAGAAAGAAAGAAAGAAAGNACACACACACACACACACACACACACGCACAAACACATGCCACATATCATATATAAAAATAAAAATAAATATGGTTCCACATTTGACAAGCTAAAATACAATGAAAGCCCCCTTTTAATCAAAATCTGCCTTGACTCAGGTTATGACCTTAGCTGGCTGGGTAAAGTACCAACACATGCATATTGTGAAAGACATTAGAATCCCTGTCCAGAATCTATAGAAAAGGCCCAGGAAGAAAAAAAAAAGGGGGGGGGATAAAAGAACAGAAAGAAATAAAAAAGAAAGAAAGGGGGAAAAAATCAGATGCATCTCTGAGGGCTTTCAGATACATGCCAGGCCCTACGGTGTATGTCTGAATTGGTCAGTCCCGCAGCCGTTTCCGCCCCCTCCTCGTTTTATAACTCCAGAAAATCAGATAACAGAAGTTTTATCTACCTTGCAAAGGCAATTTACATACAGATCCGCATTTTGCAAACAGTCATAAATTTCACACTTTAAGGGCAAACCGTGCCTTGAAGTGTTTTCCCCGGAAAGGGGAACAATATTAATAGCACTAATTGCAATCATAATCATAAATGCAGAAGATAAATTTCTTTGAAGTCCAATTTTTTGGAGAAGGAGGAAGGTAGAGTTTGAAGGGAAAACCCAAAGACAATTCTTTCTCTTTTAAAAGACACAGAGAGACACATACAGAGAGATACTAACTCCACAAACACACCATCACAGACACACAAACACACAGACTTGGTTCCTAGAATTGTTTCTGACCATCAGCCACCTTTAAAGCTCAAGTGATTTGGGTGGGGAATGAAGATTTGAGCAAGGGGAAAAATGCAATTATGGAAAGCAATAATATATAAAAGGAAGCTCAGGTCGTGACCTGAATTTTGGACAAAGTCCAAAAAGGCACTTGGTTTCCCCCAGATCTCCTTTAACACAACAAAAAAGTGAATTGGGAGACTTTATTTTTTCATATAAACTAGGCCAGTTTTCCCCATAGTATGGTTATTTCTATATATGTGCATTTCACAAGCCTTGCCTGCATGTACATTTTCCCAGGATTATTTACTATTTAGGGGAAAAAAAGAAGACATTTTAAGATATGACTTCATATCTTAAAAAAACTGCTTTTTCTTGACTGTCAGGCAAACATTAGATCTCGTGAATTGTTGTTGTTGTTATTGTTATTCTGTGTCATATCAAAGGCAGGCATGATTTGAAATATTTCACCTGCAGAGTTAAAACCTCAGATGTCTTACTCAACCAGGGCGAACCATGGGCTTATTAGATTTCATCATACCTTCCATTGTTGTTTTATAACTGTAGCACTATTTTTATATAGGAGAAAGTTGACAAGAAATATGTTCCCTCCCTAGTTAGAATTTCCTTCCTCCCCTATGTTTGATGGTTCGAATAGCCTATTTTCTGTTTTTATGGCTTGATAAAATGGAGAGAGTAGAAACCCTTGGATTCGGCCATTTCTGAATTACAGTGGCCTTCTATATTATATATTGCAGTTATTGATGGAAATAAAACACGATTAGGAAGGTACGATTCCAAGAGAACTGTGGTTTGGGAAAACAGCAATTGAAATATATGTGACACATATGCACACGGTACATTTTAACATATCGTATTTTTAAATTAAGGACAAAATCGGTATCGTTGTTTAGATACGACTAGTAGGCCAAGGGTTGTCATAGTGCAGATTATCTACTCTTAACCACAACTAGGATCTGATCTGATTTGCTTATCGCAGTTGATGATGGTTGTTGTTATTATTATTTTGAAGCTCAGCGGTTTATCTCCTGGCTTGGTGATCTTAATTTTTTTTTGTCTTTTTAACTGAAGAAAGTTTATTCCTTGTCTTTTTTTTTCATTCATCTGACCATTGTCACTGAGCAGTTTGCAGCCTTTCAATGGTCTCAAAATATGACGCTGTGATGTTCTGCCTACGGACACAAAAGCCGGCCTCTTTCTGTGCTCAGTGGGACAACTCTGGGGAGTAATGTCCACACACACACAACAGGCACACACACTTCCCATTCACAGCGATTCAGAGGGCTCCATGAAAACAAAAACAGGGTCCTCGTGTAGACCCCAATATACCTACAATTTATCCCCTCTCCCACTCTTCCCAATATATACTTCCTCAACTTCTTTCTTTTAAAAAAATTCTCTTCTAATGAAAGAGAAGATAACTTTCCAAACTTTAACTTTAGGTCTGCACAGCTGACACAGATACAGCAGGACGTGCCTCTCAGTCAAACCACAGCTCTAATCCCCCTATGTCTTGCCCCCCAGCCGACAACAAAACGCCCCAGAGAACTCTCTCTCTCCTCCCCCTTCGCTTTTTCCCCATTTTTTCCAGGAAAATTGAGAAGAAGGGAAAGAGGAAGGGGGATGGGGTGGGGAGGAAGGGAGGAAGGAAGACTGGTTTCTGAGGCCTGAATCCCACTTCCCAGCAAGCGCTGGAAGAGCCCCTCCACCCCAAGGCAGAGAGACACCCCCCCCAGTCCCCAGCAGAGGCCGCCCCCCTACCTGAGGTGAAGAGGACAATCGCTTTCAAGCAGCTGTATTCCGCCGAATCCACGTGTAGGGCTTTCAGCTTCTCCACCTGCTCCTGGAAAATGCGTATGTGGTCCATAAAGGCGACCACGCGGTCGGCGGACATGGGGGACGCGTGGAGGCCGGCGGCTGCCAAGAGCGGGGCGACGTGGAGAGGCATGGAGCACTGGGCGGCGTTGAGGACAAACAACTCACTCCAGGTGAGCCTCAGGAGGGCCACCTGGTCGGTGATCTGGAGGTCTGGGAAGAAAGGAATGTTCCGAGCCCATTCCACGGCGCTGAAAAGCATCCGAGCGGCCAACTCGCAAATGTTCTCGATGCCCATAATGTTGTTCGGCTGCATGCACTGGCTGCCGAAGCGGGAGGTCGGGTAAGGCTCTGCCCGCAGCAGGAGGGAAATATATCCGGAGAGGTACGAATGGCAGTTCAGGGGGTCCCCGTTGGTTAAGGCGAACTGGCCGTGGGTCGGCTGTGTGGGTGGCATTCTGCCCCTCTGGACGGCTGCAGTAAATAAAAAAGAAACTACAGCAATTAATACCTGCATTGCTAAGGAAGGGTGAGGGTGAGGATGAGGAGGGTGGTGGTGGTGCTACCAGAACTACAGGGGCAGCAGGGGGGAGAGATGGAGGAGAGGGGGCAATCCAAGGGAAGGTCGAGACACAGGACTTCTTCTGCAACGGCTGGAAGTAGAGACCTTCACATATTTCTGTGATAGCTGGGGGTGGAGGGGGGAGAGATCTGGACGTGGAAGGGGGAAACTAAGAATGTTTAGGGTTTCAGCCGAGAGGATGCAAGGCTGAGAGGATGACCCCCCTCCACCGTCAAGATCCAAGCAGAAGCTGCTTTGCGTGAAATTGTCCCCCGTTTTCAACCAGCCTTCCTTCTGAAACCTCCTCGGCCTTGTCCTTCCTTAGCAGCCCTTTCCTTGCCCTCCTTTATATATATATTTATATATATTATATTATAATATATTATTATATTATTATTTTAAAATAATAATAAAACAAAAACCAAAGGGGAAGGGAAGACATATTCGCCAGGCCAAGAGACAGATAGAGAAAGAAAGAAAAGAAAGAAAGAAAGAAAAAGAAAGGGAAGAGAAGAGAGAGCCATCTCCAGCGCGGCTTCCACTCTCTCTTTCTCAACACAGGCCGGCGGGGGGGGGGAGCAAGCAAAATAAATACAATCAAATAAACAATTGCCGGCGGGCCGGCGGAACGGGGGAAAAATATAGGTTCCGCCGGATCTTATTGTTACATTTTGTCCGCTGCTCCCAGCCGGGGGCGAGAGGAAGCGGGGGCTGCTGGAAAGCCCGGGGAAGCCCTGCAGAAAATGGGCCTTGGGTTTTGTTCATAAATTTACATAGTGGTGACAGAGAGAGGGAGAGAGAGAGAGAGAAAATGAAAGAAGCCGAGATTCGCGGCAAAGAAAGCCGAATCAAGGCAGGCGAAGCAGGGGTGGGGGTGGGGGCTTGCCTGCAGCCTGACCCCAAAGCCGCCCAGACCCTCTTCGAAGTGGGAAAACCGCTTTCACACCCCACCCCCCAAAATATCCAACCCGGGGCGGCTGGGAAGAGTGGAAGAAAACGCGCGCTACGCCATTAACCAGAAACCGCGGCTCGCCTTTCGCTCGCCGAGCTTTTCCGCCGCGGCTCTCCATCTTGCGGGAGGGAGGGGGGAACAGAATAAAAATAAAAATAAATAAAATAAAAATAAAATCCTCGCTCGCTGCTTCGAGCCCTTTCGGGCTTCCAACGCGCTTCGCGTCTTTTACTCCCCTCCCCCCCCCCAAATAAAACCACCCGGGTTCCCCGCGTCTGGCTTCCCAACGCCTCGGCCGCAGCTTCCGAACACCCCCCCCCACACACCCCCCGAGCTCTGCCTTAAACGGGGAGAAGGGGAAAACGTGTTTATGGTCATCTTCCCAAGGCCGAAAGGACCTCGTGGGAAGCAAAGCGAGGCTCTCTGGAACTCCGGGATGGCAAGGAAAGCGAATGGAACCTCGCCGGAATTCCGAACGGAAGCCCCGATCGGAAAGCCTCCCCGGCGAGTGGATCGATCGATCCGGGATTTATTTATGGGTTATGGTTATTTACAGAGCAGGAACCGAAAGGAAGAAGGCTGATGGGGGAGGGAGTAAGTGTGTATGTGTATGGGAGAACAAGGGAAAGAAGTTTACGTAGCTGAGATTGTCCGGAGCTCCCTTTTTACTGTTGGGGAGGCTGAACCCTCGCTTTCTCAGCCCCCCTTTTTAAAAACTGCTTTCTTTCCCGGGATCTATCCCAGCTGCGGGAGACACCCCCCCCCCCGACCCATTTCAAGGAGAATGGGAAGCGGGAAGAGAGGGCGGAGAGAGAAAAGTTGTGTTGGCTTAGGATTCAGGGGTCCATGAAAAGCCATTTTAGCCCTTCCAAACCCCCAGGCCAGAAATTCAAAGCGATTTTCTCTCCCCCCGCCACTCGGGAGAAGAAATGAAGCCCAGACCAGGGCTTTTTTAAAAAAGGAAGGAAGGAAAGAAATGAAGGAAGGAAAGAAAGAAAGAAAAAAAGAAGGAACAAAAGGAGGAAAGAAGAAAGAAAGAAGGCAAGGAGGAAGGGAGGAAGGGAAAGGAAGAAAGGAAGGAAGGAAGGAAGGAAGGAAGGAAAGAAAGAAAGAAAGAAAGAAAGAAAGAAAGAAAGAAAGAAAGAAAGAAAGAAAGAAAGAAAGAAAGAAAGAAAGAACGAACTACCAGCACCTCGACTTTGTCCGCCAAAACAAAGCATACTTTAAAAACAAAATCAAGGCTCCAGTCCTCCCTCCTCCGCAGGCTGGATTTCAGTTTTTAAGGGATCCTGCCTCCCCGGAAGAGCTATTCTCCTTGCCTCGACTGCCCTCCCCGCCGGCGGGTGAGAAATGGAAAACAAATGAAATTCCAATACCTTCCCGTCTCATGCCAACCTTCAGGCATTTCTTGAGGCGACAATATTGGCATTGGTTGCGGTGATGTTGGTCAATGGGGCAGTTCCGGTTGGCGCGGCACGTGTAGCTAAGGTTCCTCCGGACGCTGCGCTTGAAGAAACTCTTGCAGCCTTCACACGTAAATTGCCCGTAGTGTTTGCCGCTGGATTTGTCCCCGCACACCACGCACTCGATGTGCTGCTGCTGCTGTTTCTCCCCTTGGTTTTGCTGGCTGCCCGGGGTGGTTTGAGCCGGGGTGGTGGGTGGCCCTCCTTGGACCGGCGTCTGTGGGGGGTGGGGGGTGCCCGTGGGGGCTCCCGGCACAGGGGGAGCTTGCGAAGGCTGCGTTCCTTGCGGGCCGGTCACATCGTCCTGCGGGTCTCGCCAGGCGGCCACTACCATTGCCATATCTAAGGGACACCGTGGCCAAATCGCGCGCCCCCCCGTCGCTTGCTGTGGCCGCCGGATCCGCTTCTCCGGCCGGTTGCGCCTGCCGTTGGAGCCGGAGCGAGCTGTGGCGGTCTAAAGAGAAAGGGGGAGGGGGGCGGTTGTCCACTTTTATATTAGTTTATTTGCTCTCCCCCTCCAGCTTTTTTTTCTCGCAGTTCGCGTTGGCAAGTTATTCTGATTTTCACGGCTGGAAGTTGCTCTGGAGGAGAAGGGAGCGCGTCGTAATCGGCGGCGGTGATGGTTTTCTTTTAAATTTTCCACCTCTCTCGCTCTCTCGTTGGGTTCTTCTTCTCTCCCCCCCTTTTTCCCGATCTTTCGTTCAGTTTAATTTAATGCTTTGGATGGAGAATTGGGGGGTGGTGTGGTAGAAAAGATCTCGTACGGTTCTCTCCCCCACTCGTACAATTGCAAAATAGTAAATAAATGCGGGAAGCAGAAACGCACGCACGCACGCAGCAGGCAGGCACCGGAAAGTGGAGTTGAGAAAGGAAAGGGGGGAACGCGGACGAGTGGACAAGAGGGGGGAAAGAAAAAAGAAAAAAAGCGAGGAGGAGGAGGAGGAGAAAGAGGAGGAAAGCGCGAGGCGATTGTCTGTTAGCAAAAGGGGAAGAAAAGTAAAAAAAATTACAAAAGGGGGACGGCTGGGGAGAGAGAGAGAGAGAGAAAGAGGAAGAGGAAGAGAGAGAGAGAAAGAAGAGAGAGAGAGAGAGAGAGAGAGCGGGATTCCCTTCAAAGATCTCTCCCTCCCTCTCTCTCTTGAAGCCGACCCGAGTTGCAGGAACAGAGGCGGGGGTCTGGGGGCCAGATCCAGCGAAGTCCGCAGTCAGCCATTCAGAAAAGCCATGGAAAGCAAGCCAGGCGAAAGCCCGCAGCGGCTCGCAGGAGGCGCAGGCGAGCCCAGAGAGAAATCCCACGCTCGGCACGCCGGCCCGCGGACCCGGCCTGGCTCCTGCTCCTGGCGGGGTTTCGATCAGATGCCCCGCTCGGAGTTTGGCGAAGCTGTAGAAACATCAACCGGGGAAGGGAAGGAGGAGGAGAGGAGGAGAGGAGGAGGAGGAGGAGGAGGAGAGGA